ACGCCCAACAACAAGCCCAAGCATTGCTGCCAGCGTTGCAAGCTGCCACACTAATATTTAAAAGCAGCTCGCCAGGAACCGGGGCTCACTGTACTTTTATCAATCGTTCACATCTGTTATCGCTCATCAGCATAACAACATACCAGTCAATGAGTTATAATATACGCACATAATTCTGTCAAACTCTGCAATAATAATCTAATAAGCCAACAGTGAAGCCATAAGATTTTAAAACCATTTAAGTGCGCCATATCTATCACAAACATCACAAGCACTCACGAGTGCTAAGTGTAATTCAAAGGTGAATATTAAACTAGAAGCGCGACTTCTACACACTCATCACAGAATTAGGTAAAATTTGAATTTTTGTGGATTTAATTAAAGGAAAACCATATATTGAAAGCGCAAGAGCACCAGCCTCGCACACCTCTGCTAAGAGATTAGATCGCCAAGGTCTCGCGAATGGCCAGAAGTGTAATATACGTTACGGCTATAAGGGACAGAGATTAGACTGTGAAGGTCCCGCGAACGGTCACAAGTGTAATATATGTCACGGTTATAAGGGCAGATATTAGAACAAGAAAGTCCCGCGAACAGCCACAAGTGTAATATCAGTTTCGGCTATACGAGCAGATTTTAGAACAAGGAGGACCCGGAACGGCCACAGGTGTAATATATATCACGGCTATACGGGATGGAGATTAGATCGCGAAGGTCTCGCGAACGGCCATAAGTGTCTATATAAATAATATACATCACGGCTATAAGGACAGATATTTAAACGTTACCAACACGTGGTACTACTCAAAGAAGTACCAGAGATTTACTCCTCCTACTGCTCCAGGTGGTTAATACCATCGCCACGTGAAAAATACCGAAAGGATCTCATCGAATTCCAGCACCATCTTAGAATCATATTCATTGGGTAGTCTGTAAATAAGGAGAAAAACCAAGATACGCTATGTGTTAATATTGAATAAATGCGCCTTCATCTTCCACTTGCCAGCAATCCTCCCACCGAACATTACTGGGAGGTTTTTTAGTCTGACCCCAGACATTTACATTTAAATCGCTCATAATTATTTACAAATTTTTATGCTTTAATTAAAAATAATTAATATATATTATAATATAACTATAATAGCATATATATAATGTAGTATATGCGATATTATTAGTGGTTAATTATATTAATTATATATGCTTAATTAGCAATAGCTTCAATTCTTTAAAAGGCTCAATATTTAAAATGAATTTTGACCGTTTCTCAAGTATGAAAGATTTCCATTTTTATTCTCGATCTATGTTTAATTTTTTCTGAATATTATCTTTATTATTCTAAAACTTTTTCTTCTCCCTTCTCCCACTTCCTCACTCTCCCTTTCTCTCTATCTATATTTGCATAGATAGTGGATTCTTTGTAAATGGAATTACACTAATTATAATGTATTTATTTCTTCTTCGAGACATGTGCCGAAAGTCATATTGTTAGAAAGTTACCGCCAATGTTACGCACATTTATTCGCTCTTGTGCACATCTCAACGAGTTGAACATCATCCTGGGCAAAACAAAGTTTAGCGACGAACGTATCTAAACTTTCATTCAAAAACTTTTGACTGGCTTGTAGTCGCGCAAGAAAAAAATATGAAAAATAAAAAAGTAGAATATAAGAAATCCATAGAGAAAATGCATTTTATGTAGACAATTTCGTGCAAGTCACATATAGGAAACAGTAGCTATTCTGTTTTTATATAGTTCATTGTATTTTGTCTGATAATATATAGAATCGAAAAATATTTAAGAATAAAAGAGTTGCACATTTAATAATAGTTTATAAAGTTTTCTAAAAATATTTACAATGTAAAAATTAATAAAATAATAACCAAAACAAATCTTCACTTATTCGTATTACTCTGAAATTTATTTCATGAGCATATCCGAATATTATATATTCTATAAAACTAAGAAAGTTTAATATTCTTAAAATTATACTAAATATTTTATTAAAATTCATGGGAAAACAATTTTTGTATTGTCTATTATATATGTAGATATATATATAATACTCATATTGTTTAATAATAAAAGAGAAATAAATATTTGAAATAAAATAAATTTAAAGAAAAATAATTACATTTATAATATGTATTGAGAAATTTACTTTTGCACATTATAAATGAATTATCTATAAAATCAAATTATTTTGAATGCAACCATTAAATTTTTACCAATTATTTATGAATATATGAATCTTCTAAAAATATTACTTTATTATACAATTCACTAATTTTAATTTTTTTATATAAATAATCTAAATACTTTAAATTTGTTTAAACTTATATTTAAATAATTCTAGTATATAAAAGAACTTCTAACATGATTTAATAATTTTACGGTAATGTTAATTCGTTTAAAGTACAAAAGATTGTTAAAAACATTTTGAACTTCAATAAAAGTGCAGTTATAGTGAATTTTTATAACTAAAATAAATTTAAGATTTTGCATAATCAGTATCTGAAAAATAGAATTTCAAATGTAAGTAAACTGTTTATATTAAACTGTTGGCAACAATTCAAATTATAAAATTGCTTAAATTTATTGTAAGAAGCAGATACTTTAAAATGTCATAAAATTATAATACTATAATCAAATATTTTTATAGGGTTTGAAATAACTGATTAGATATAATTTTTTTGAAAACATATTGAAAACTAAAAATTAAAAAAAAACAAAAACTTATTACAATAATTAAGATTTTATTATTATTACATATTGGTATTAATTTGAACAAAACATTTAAAATATCATATTAAAAACATACAATTTAAGATATTTTGATAAGAATATTTGATTTTTTTTATATTTTTGTTTCATATAGTTTTATAATTATAAAATAATCGACTAAAATAGCAAAATATATAATGTATAAATCGAACAAATAATAAAGTGAATTTTTCAAAACTATATATATAAAAATGAGGTAAATATGTAAGATTATAATTATATTTTGAAAATAATAAATAATAGTACATAATAATAGTAATTAGTTCATAATAACTTTATATATGGTTATATTATATTATATTCTAAATTTATATTCAAACTACTTTTAAAAAATAATGTAAATGTAAAATAAACAATTATTAAAATGGTTTCAAATTTATATAATTTTTATAATTTTTTATTATCATTATTAAATTGTTAACTGAAAAATATAACCACCAAACTAATACGTTACATTTTTTTCATTGATTCCGTTCATTATTTATTTTACATTATGAACAATTTTTCTCATTCAATAATCAGAAATCTAATTTCTCTATTTGCAAATTTTAACAAGTAATTATGTTAATGAATTTTATAGTTTTTAGTAATTTTTTACCTATATCGACATATTTTTATGAAATTAGATAAATCACTATTCAGGTTGCACAATGCTAGTGAAGTTACTTACAAATATACTAAGGAAATTAATTTAACGAAGTAAATAATTAATAAAACAATCGACATAAGTTCATCAATACACTGAACCAATTATTATTTAAACATTATTTATTTTAATTAAATACTAGATTTTTCATTTAAAAATTAATAATAGTTTACTAATGATAATTAATTATTTATCTCTACGTTTTTAAAAACTACGTAGTTGTCGAAATCAATAAATTATTATAAAAAAATGTCGCTCGTCATTATTTAAAACATTATATTTTTTATGCAATATAGTAATTCTGTAGTTTAAATACGTATAATATAAATAAACAATAACAAACATTGATGAATTATGTATGATATACGAGAACTAAGTATTATATTTGGTTAATTTTCTGCGTGGAAAAATGATTGTATATAATAATTCCAGAATTATTTTACATAATTTTTAATTTTTTAATAATTATCAATTATTATAATTATTATTCATAGAATTACTTAAAATTATAGTGATAAATTTTTATGTAAATAATTCATTAATTTTGTTAAGCTATAAATAAATGAAAGAAGTATATATATTTTATATCCAAATTGCGAACTAATCAAATTATTACTTAGACAATATGATATAATTAAATATAAAAATTTATAAAAAGATTGATAATAAATAAATTTTATAGGTTAATAATAGATATGACATGAGTTAAGATATTTTATAGATGTAATTATTATAAATACAGATATATGATTATCCTACTGTATAATTTTTTTTGTAGAGCCTCCACTTTTAATAATACTTTTACCTACAAATATTAGTTTTAATAAATTTTGAACAAAAGTAATTAAAGACTGTCCATTTTATGCATCATATCTATGTCATAGTAATGAATAATCATATGCAATTCACAAAAGTTTTTTGTATTTATTAAATAAAATAATATAAAATGAGATAATAAATAAATAAGAAAATTAATAAAAATAAGAATATATCAATGTCTATAAAATTTTTAAATTATACCTCCTTTTAGTAGAAATAATATTATTCTGATATATATTAAAATGTATTTATGTATTAAAATCTTAAATAAGATTGTTTCATTGTAATTTATGATACTATATTTAATAATTTAATAATTGATAGATTTTTTTTTCTATACGCTTCATTACAGTTCTGATTATTTATACTAAAAATACTAAGCGAAATTACTCAATATAAATTCTTTTAATACAATGTGTTGCGTAATATTATTTAAATATCAATACTATTTATACATATTATTTAGTCCACATCACAAATTTGAAACGCACTTGATGAATTTACTTTAATATTCTAATTAATTATTTTGAATTTATAAGAGCAGCACCAAACATTTTAGCGTGAGACCCTTGCAGATGTTAGCAGGATTGTCGTCATGAGTGATATATGTCTCAACCTAGGCGATATTATTCAACTAGTCCAACGCCTAAATTCTCAAGTCTTTTAGCGATGCAGCTAAGCGTTGCTAATGCTCAATCGATATGAAAATATTTATAATTTCTTCTGACATAGACTCTGTATGGTGTAGAATAGTATTTTAAGGGCATGGGCATCCGCGAAAATAACCAGTATATAGCCTATCCACAAGAATGTTTTTGTCATCTGTATTTTACAGGGCACAAGAGTACTACGGCACTACCTTCATTGAAACGTTTGACAACATTTTGGCCATTCCCGTATACTCCATATTATACGAGACGTACTGAGAGACCAGTGATACGCGAACAGGAATATGACAGTCCAGACGAAAATCGTAGCAACGGTGGTAGCGACGTTGCTGGACAAAGCACAGGTGAGCTGCTTCAAAGACTTCACTTAATTATCCACCTATCACCCCGATCCAACCCTGGCCCGAAACAGCCAAACAAGCACGACGCAGTGGATGCAGCTTACACATGAATCAGATGCATTTCGCGCGACGCCAATGACACCATTTGAAATTATTACCTATTCTGCACCATGCACTGTCGATTCTAGATAAACCGCTTATGTCTCTATATTAATTCACTTGTTACTCTTTCTTTTATCTTTTTAATTATGCCCCTGATAAGATGTCTTAATTGAAACTTCATAGCCAATATTTATTGGGTAAATGTATTTAATTGATCACGTATTGTTTTCATTTAAATCCTAAGTATTTTAACATAATGCTTTCAAAATAAAAACCGTAACCTATTCTAAAGTATACGACGTAAAAGAATTAAATGATTACTTTAAAGTATTCGTATACATTCATAAACTTTAAAAAGGTTTTGTTTTATTAAGATGGTTTTTCTCAATACCATTAGTATCTTAATTAGAATTATGTGCATATAAATTTAACCAAAATAATAAAATAATGAAAACATATACCGTATCATTTGCCTAATAAACTAACAGTGTCTAAATAATTCTTTATAAGTAATAATTAAATAATGATTCACAATGGTAAATCCTCTTATTACAAATGCATATTGTTCCTCATCCATATTATAATCAATATATAATAAATTCGATTAAAAATTTGTAACTTTTACTAATAATTCAGCTGGTAAAATTGAAGATAATGGGCTGTACCGAATCTTCACTTAAGTGAAGATAGTATTTATAAATTAACATTTTGGAATGAATTATTTTTTGATAATTCATAAAAGTGAATATTAAATAAAAAATGAATACAAACTGAATATTAAATACACTAAAATATTATATCTTGAAATTTAGCAATACAATAAAATATTTAAATAAGATTGAAAGCAATTTGACAATTAGTTTTAATAATATTTAAAATACGTTTTATAAAGACTTCATAGAAATATTTTTAATAAAATTTATATCAATATATTATTATATGATGTAAAAGAAAAATCACGACACTGCAGGTTATAATTATATTTTGAACAGCAACGGGGTTAGGAATTTTGAAGAATAACGAAAAGAAACAAATTGAGATTGCACATGTAGTAGATTTATGAATATATCCCATTGTAAAGACTATACTTGGCTTTCTCCTTTCTCGATGTGCTTCCTCCTATTCATGTCCTTTTGTCTCTCTCTCTCTCTCTCTCTCTCTCTCTCTCTCTCTTTCTTTCTCTCTCAAGCCTATCCCTTCGCCTTCGCTGTAGTAACATCGAAATTTATTGTAACGATCGTACTTATCCAATTATATTTTAAACGCAACCATTATCCACACCTGTGTCCTTAATCATGAATATATGTGCATTTGGTTATCGGTACAAGTGGTATCATTAACAAACAAAAAAAATGATTGAAAATGAGTTTTCAATAATAAATATTATTGAGGCGAATATGGAGAAAATAGACTGTTTTACATACATACGTATTAAAAATATTTTTCACACAGATAAAATGTAGAGTGAAATATTGAATATAAAATACAACTTACTACGCTCGCACTTTTTATTATTTATAAATAATAGTCTCATCATATGTTGTATTGATTATTCTCTTCATGTATGAAATACATTTTTACACTCATAAAATGCATTTATCTATCCTATTTTCATTGTACGCATCAAATAAATTTTTAATTCATAAACAGTTATTAAATATTGTAAATAAAAAATATTTCACCTAGTTTATGTATTATATGTAAAATTTTTATTATATATATATATATTATAAACTTATATAATTCTATGTATTCAAAGAATTATTTAAATATTTGTATTAAATTTTTAATTTAATTTAATATTATTTTTTAATCCTTAAATTCGTTATGTAATAAGTTATTTTATATGCTAATTTTTTATAACTTATATATAAATATATATATATCTTATTTATAAATTATTTGTAAGCTTCAATGAAACAATATTCAATACCAAAATTGCAAATACTGAACATTTTTTTGTTTATAAATGCAAAATATTATTTTTATTTTGTCTTCATTGTACTTGGGAATTATAATTTTTATAAATTTTTACTAGTTAGTTAAATTTTCATCATCTAAATATTCCAATACTTATAATATAATTAATTTTTTTAATCTCTTTTTCATTTTATACGATATAATCTTTCATAGTAAAATTTATTATATTGATTTATAATACATGGAATTTTTTAAACATAATGTTATTTTTTAAACATATATAAAAAAAATTAGAAAAAATGGTAAACAAGGAAATTACAATTTGTGAAAACCTTGCATATTTTTTATATCGTTTACAGATGCATGAATTTTCCAAATGAGGAATGAAGTATTCCAGAGCAACAGTATATTCTACTTAAAGAGCTGCAAGTCTATCTGTTAATTGCTTTGTAGTTTGATTCGGTTCCGACGTAACCTGAAACTGTTGGATTAGCAACAGAAAAATTCATGGAAGAACTATTGCAGTTTGCAAAACCTCATATTCGGGTTATTTGCTTTCCTTCCCCAGTCCATCAACATGTGCTCACTTGTGCACACAGTAAAACAAATTATTTGCTTCATAGATTGTTTTGGGAGGTTATCAACGTCATTCAAAAGTACTATTATGTCTAACAATTTAAACTCCCAGTTCAGAATAAGTACAGATCAAAAATAATGAAATTTACTGAATGGTAGGTGTATACGTCGCGCCATTCATGTCAGTACTACCGTATAAGGTTTTCGCCACTATTGATAGATCAGTCTTATTATAAAGATTCATGGAAGTCAGGATTTATTTAATCATACGTAATTTTTGTAATTATTTTATAGAAGAGATGCGTTAGCATTCATATTACTTGCCATATAAGAAATATGGTTTCTAACAAATCCAAAAATTAATGAGAAAAAAAGCAAGTACTGATAGTATCAATAAGAAATAATAAAATTAATACAATAAGTTAATACAATAATTAAACCACAATGATTAATTTATACAATAAGTTAATTTTTCAATATTCATAATAAAAACAAGTTATAATTTATCAATATCGATTTAGAAAATATAACAAACATGAAAAATTAAAATATTTCTTTATTTAAGATTTTATCAAATAATAGCATGCTTCAAAAACTTAAAAAATGTTGTTATAAAACAAATTTTTATTATATAAAATTTTAAGGGATAATACTTGGAATCCAAAAGATGTAATCAAATAATACTTAAATTATTTATATTTTTGTTATCTTATAAAACCAAAAATTGAAAGAATTATAGCGATAGGCAACTGTAAATAATATTAACTTTAAATTTATATAATAATATGTTGCTTATTGTTCTATTTGTAGGCGAATTGTAAGAATTTTGTATATGCCGTTATTTGTTCCAAAAAAGTAAAAAATATACATTATAAATTATAATGAATTATATAAAATAAATAGGAACTTTGAAATATATGAATCTATTTAAAATACAAAAAATTCTGTATAATTTCATCTATGAATTTATATATATATATATATATATATATATGTATGTGTGTAAATTTGTTAGGAATAACTAAGATATGTAATATAATATATCTTATTTCTCACAGTTTATATTCTTCTTACTCTCTCGTTATTATTTTTCGTCTATTCTCATTCTAGTCTCAACGTTGGGCATTGTTGTCATTCACATCTTCTTTGTGATTTCCCGGGAGATAAACGGTAGGTTAGCAAATACAAAAAGATTAGAATAAAATAATATCTTATATAGCCACACCGAAGCTCAGTGAGCACGATTAAAGAATATGGAAAAAAGAGAAAAACCTAGAGAATATATGTATTATTCTTTTAACATATAAAAATACATGTATTTGTTGGCGAGATTAAGGAAATTTCTTTTATACTATGTATAATTGACTGATTCTCAACTAAATTTCGTTAAGCAATGTTTATGATTCATTTTTTTTTTTTGGCCCCGAATCTTACCCTACGAATTATGCTCTGAACCCCTAGAATTTTGTTTTTTAATCGACATATGGTAATTACGAAAATAAATAAACTGCTACAGAGCTTCAGAAAACTTTTCAAGTCAAGACTTTTTCTTTTCAAAAATTTTAACAATTATGCTAGTATGATCACTATTTTTTAAAATTGCAATATATTTCTGATTTGAAGCAATTCATTATTCAAAAAATAATTTAGTTTATTTAGATAATCTCTGCGAAAGAATTAATTTCATGTAAATACTCTACTTTATTAAAATATTAATCATTTATGATAAGGTATATTACTAAATTACTAAAAAATTTTTATTTTTTTGTTCCATATATTATAAATTATATTGAATTCTTTCAATATCAACCAATTCAAAAACCGTATTACTCATAATTTTACGATTATTATATATAGTATATAAATTTAAATATATAATACATTTATAATTTCAAAATATAAGAAATATATTTAGTTAAATTTCTTCTAAATTATCGTCAACATATTCTAACACAGTTAAAACTGTTTAAAACAGTTTAACTACATTTGTTCACGATGTTCAGTAATATAGAATGTTTTAAAAATTGTAAAGCCTTCTTTTGTAGAAATTTTGATAATAATCTACGTATTTATCTATTATGACTGAAGAAACAGATTTACATTGCAATTGTGCCTTTTATAATTATGAGTTCAAAAAGTATATTCAAATATAAACTGAGTTTATGTATACATGTTATTATGAAAATTCAGTTTTCCTGTTAACGGTGTTCACTAGGGATAGTACTTAATCTACATTTATACGACGTAAAGCAAAACTTTTGTTAACCGAATCTCTAAATAGAACGTATATAAAATACATACATGTTATATTTGACCATTAATCTAATTATGTTACGGAGAATGATAATTTATTCAATAATAATTTACTTTCAAAATTCATTGAATTATGAAGCTAAAATCACTAA